TCCTCCCCCCTCCTCCGCCTCCAGTGGGCAGGCATTTCCCTTCCTTCGCTGCAGAGGAAGCCCTTTTGCTCACGCAGGGATTGAAAAGCAGCCGCCAAAGCGGGGAGGGGGTGGGGGGGCCGAGGGCTGGGAGGCCCCCGACAAGCCGGGATTTAAAGAGACCGCGGCTTTCTTCCGCCTTCTGCCGTCTCCGCGCGTTCTTCCTCGGGTTTAGCAACCCACGCGTGGAGAAGGGGGAGCCCAGCACCCAGCCAGAACCCTCCGCTTGAGCAGGCAGGGAGCAGGCGTCGAGGGAGCACGGGCTTGACTCCCCGCGCGCACTCCCCCTCCCTCCCTCCCTCAGGCAGGCCAGCGGAACTCATGGACACAAGGTTCGAAAGACAAGCCTAAATGCGCGCGCGCGCTCATCCGCAAAAAGAATTGGGGGAAGAGCGGGGGAAAGGGGACATAGACGTGAATATTAAGCACCGACAGCAGTCCAAACTGCCCACTCCCGACAGTCAAGCGACTGGTGTCTGTCAGTAGTCAGTAGCTGCTGCTTGGCATAGCAAGCTACCCACTGCAAGGAGGCAAAATGGGGAGGGAACCAGAGGGAATGAGGAGACAGGCGCCCCGTGGTCCGAGCGGCGGCGTGATTGCGGGGTGAGCGCCTTTAAACACACATTCACACGTCCTATTCGTTCTATTCGCATGTATTCGAGCGGAGTGGAAGTCAGTCTCTCTCTCTCTCTCTCTCTCTCTTGCACATTTTCTGACCAGCTTAGCCCACCACCGCGGGGGCGGCAGAGGAGGGATTGAGCCTGCTGTTCCTCTCGCTCTTTGACAGGATGCTGAGTCGCCAAACAAGGCGCTGGGATTCACGGGCAGAGGTGGAACAGAACCGCGTCCCGATCCTTGAGGCCGTTACGCCTGCGATCCTAAAGCTCCGTTCTCCGTTCACTCAATTAGATCGCTTCGGGTCGGGACCAAGAATCAAGAGTGGTCCCGAAGCGAGCTAAGCTGTCCCCTCGGATGGCTTACTTTTTCTAAATGGGACGCATTTATTTCGAATAACTTCGGTTACTTCCCGATCCAAAGCTAGATCGCTCGTGTGAACGCAGTGCTGCTTTTGCGGATGAAGGACGCCGCAGGAACGCCTCTAGAACCTCCGGCCGCCGGATCCTAGATTTACTGAGTCCCCCCCCCTCCCGCCAGCAGTCCTCTTTGATTCCAGCGGGTTGCATCCCGACGTAGACTCATAGGAATCCATGGGATTTACGCCCACTTTTGAGCCCCATTGATTTCCATGGGTCTGCTTTGAGGAAGGATGAGGACGATGCCCAAGTTCGGATCCCACTCCAGAAAAGTTTTTACTCCCCGGTAGGCGTGACTAGAATCGCCGCCCTGAAGCGCGCCGGCGGCTTCCACGGGAAGTGGAGTTTATCCGGAGTGTGAAAGCCAGAGCGGAGCGGGGAAGGATTGGGTGGGGGCCCGATTGTTCGCGGGCCATCAGCCGGGGGTGGCCGTCTACGCGAGAAGGCGGCGGGGAAACCTGAGCGAGACGGTCCCTGGGGAAGGCGGCGGCTTCCTCGGGAGGAGCGACAGCCCCGCCACCTCCGGCTCAGCCTCTGTCCGGCTCGCCCGCCGCCTTTAGGATCGCGGGGGTGGGTTTGCTTTTTTACCTGAAGAAGGCAATCTCTAGCCCCGCGGCAGAAGCCAGCCCAGCGTCTCCTTCGGCGAGCACCGGACGCGTCCGTCCATCCGATCGATCCTCAGCCCGGGAGGAGGGAGCGAAGGGTTTTAAAGCGCACGTGGGGGCGATCCCCCTTTCGCCCCCCTCTCCTCCCTTCGCGCAATCCTGCGCTGCCCGCGCTCGGGGAAGATGAGCTAATTTCCTCCTCCGCTCCTCATCCAGCCTCACGGAGGGGTATTAATGCCCGACTGTCCCGCTGAACGGTGTTCCTAGGCTTGCCGTTTTTTAACCCGTGTTCCCACGTGCACCGGAGAACACGCGATCTCGCCACCGCGGAGGAACGGAACGCCGGCTGGGATTCCAGGCGGCCGCTTGCCCACTGAACTCAGCGGGACTTACCTCTGAGGAGACAGGTCTAGGATTGCACCCTAATGTGTGAACGTTTCCGTGGATCCACTCCATCGGATGCACCTCAGTCGATCTCCAGCGGCAGCTTGGAGGCCGAAGTCCAGGGCTCCGACTCAGCAGAATGAGCAAAACGTAGCGGGGCCAGCTTGCCCCCCCCCCAATGGCTCTCCAAAGCCTCCCCATTTCCCAACAGAGTACAGTATGAAGTCCCCTCCTGAGCTTAGACCACGTGGCTCAGTTGGATCGCTTTAATCATCATCATCAAGCCAATTCTGACTTATTGCGACCTTTCCCCCGAGATTTGCAGGTATACTCAGGAACAGTTTCCCGTTCCCTGGTTTTAGGGGCACCCTGGGTTTGTGCAGCTTGCCCAAGGCCACACAGGCTGGCTCTGCTCGCTTTAGGAAATGTCTAAGTTCAGTATCAGTTCTAAAACAGGGAGATGGGACTGTGAGGATAAATAAGGTAGCCATCCTAAAGAAGGGAGGGAGATAACGCAGTTGAAGGGAAGGACTGCCAGTGGGGGAGAAAACATGTGGAACTGAAGGAGAGACCTCTGAAATAGTTAAAGTTGTCTGCAGCTGAAGGTGGAAATGATTTTGAAAACAGGAAAAGATGGTAAGAAACACCTTACAGAGGCACACTTAGTACCCAGTAGTATTATTTGCTGGGACTTCTGGGGGTTATTAAATTCCTTCTGTGTGCATGATTTTCTAGCTCAATTTACACAAATAGCCCAAACATTCCCTTATGGTCTTTTGAAATAACTTGCTTGAGTGGTTGGAAAATCACCAGGAACTTTTTTTAACAACAAAAAAAAATCTAGGTCTAAGCAAGGCAAGCAAAGCTGAATCTGTGGACTAGGAGCTTCCCCCCAATTCTGCAGCCTCTCTTGCTTGTTGTCACCAAGATAGCTATGTTGCTGACAGCTGGAGGAAGGCACAAAAACACTCAGACAGACTCTCATAAAGGAAGAAGCTGCTCTGTCTCTTCTGTAGTGCAGATGAGGGTGTTCTAGCACATCACAGAGATGTGCCAGAGCACAGTATCACCACCTTTCAGTGGTGGGAACCTCAAAAGCTACCAAATCTGGGCAGTGGCATTAGCAACTTTGTGCCGTCCATTAACTTTTGACTTACAGCAGCCCAGGTAAGGTTATTGAGGTGTATGAGATACTCAAGGAATAATTTACCATTGCTAGCCACCACCACCACTCCCCACACACACCAGCTTCTAGGGCTGAGCAGGGATTTGAACTCTAGTCTGCTGAGTTCTAATCTGACACTCTGCCCACTCCACCACTGTGGCTCTTGTGTGCCAAACAGCCTTGGCGACAGTGCAGTCTTTAGTGAATTGCTGGGAGTGGCGCCAACCACCCCAGGCCCCCAAATTGCCCACCCCATGGTCTGGGAACTACTCATGGGGATGTGGTTTGTACAGCGTATCAACACATTATGATTTAGCAAGCTCTCCAGGATTAATATATCAGAAATTACAAGTCTACTCACCAAGTGTCAATGCCGCCACTTCCTGTTTGCTATCTTTCCCTGAAAGATGCAGGAGCATCTTTGATCTTTATGACTGTCGGTTGTTGTGAGGTCAGCAGGAAAGCCGTAAAAACATGTCACTGGATTTGCTGAATATTGAAAGTGTAGCTTTTCTCCTCTTACGTCAAAAATGAGGGATTGCAGATCAACACAAAGAATGGCATTAAGAGTACATTACTTTGCAACAAATAAACAAATAATTATGTACGTGTTGCTATATGTATGCATCAGTAAGGTGTGCATGTAATCAAGAGACTAGGAAAAATAAATTGCTACAGTCACTAGCTACACTAACTCTACCCTGAGGACACTTTAAGGGTGGAACAAGGGCATCTGAATATGTATGTATGCAACGAGGACTTCATTTAGTTGCCCTGAGGACACTTTAAGGGTGGAACAAGGACATCTGAATATGTATGCAACGAGGACTTCATTTAGATTGGATCCACTCTTCCTTCTCAAGCCAGAGATGCCTCTCAAGTGACAAGTCCCAGCTGTTAGGGAGGGTGCTCTGTCTCTCTCAGTCTTTCTCCTTGCCCCCTCTGCTCTGTCATTCTGTAGGGGGGGGAGGGGCTTTCCTCTTGACAGACAGCTCCTCAGGTCCAGCTTGCCAACCCTGCCAGATTTGGTATAGGGGGCCTTTCCATGCAGTTACAGGCAAAAAATGCACATTTCTTTCTCGTTTGCTGGGCGTAGTCCACATGTCTTCCTGAAGCCTGTGCTTTTGTTAGCACATTCATTGTTATTTTGATCAGTGAATGGAATGTGGATGCTGGAGGAATCCTAACAGGAACCCCCTGAATACCTTTTCCAGGGCAGTTAATGATAAGTTCTACACTATTTCCCTGACTCCTGCACCTGCATCATTTTACAACTGAAACTCTCTCTTTCACTCTTTTCATGTGTTTGTTGGAGGCTGTTTTCCATTTTCCGTGCCCCAAGTGACAGATTTCCTGTCATCCTATTCAAAGTTTGGCCAGTTCCGTTTATATTGCCACTCTTCAATTGTACCAGCAGCTTAGCTGAGTAACAGCCTAAATATTCTTCTGTATTTGTATTTTTCTTTAAAACATTCTGATGAGATGACAGTTTCTAACCTGAATAAATACCGTTTTAAAAAAGTAGCATTGTCTGTTAGGTTTTTAAGATTAAATAAATGTATTTGTGGCTTTAAAGTTTGTATGTCACCTTGGGTGCCTTTGGACTGTAAATGTAACAATGAATGAATTATCCACACAATGAAAACATGGCTCAACAGAGGAAGAGGAGACAACCTTGGTGGCTGTAAAAAGTTGTAGTTATGTGCCATCATGTCATTTCTGACTTATGGCTTGCCCTATGAATTAATGACTTCCAATAGGTCCTATCATTAACTGCCCTGGGGAGGGTGAAAAGAAGCCTCCTCCATGTGATTATTAGAACAGGAAGTAAAACTGGCTGCAACAAAAGACTGTTACAAGGTTCAATGAATAATTTAGAGGTTTCTGCAATAAAATTGAGCCTTGTCAGTCCCAGGAGGGCAAAGCTCGGAAGTAACCTGTTACAAATAGGAAATTATTTGTGATTGGCTGAAATCTTGTTGCTTAGTGTAACAAGTCATGCTAGAATAGGTCCACTGAATCAGCAGGGCTTTGGTGAGTCAGCTCCTCCATGAGTTCTATTGATTCATATGGGCCTACTCTAATTGTGACTTCGGGCTTGTCTCTATCACTGGGTTGGAGTGGGTTAAATAGGGTTGCTAGCTGGATAGCTCAGCAAGTCAGGTAATTGACTACAGAGCCAGGAATCAAGAGTCCAATTCCGCATTGTACATCCCAGCCTGTGTGGCATTGGCCAAGCTGCCCAGTCCCAGGATGCCTCCAGAAGAAGGGGATGAATGGTAAACCACTTCTGAGTACTCTGCAAGTAGAAAAACCCAAAAGGGTGACAATTTGTGTGACTTGATAGCACGCAGTTATTAAAATTAGGAGATCCGGTATGCCAATTGGTTTGATCCTCACATCCAGATGGCATACAGATCTCAAGCGATCCTATTTGGTCTCCTTTTTAAAAAGGGGTATGTGTATTAGGTTTGCATATTATGAGTCATCTTTAAGATTAGGTAATACACTTCTCTTAAAGGTTGAGAACCTGCCACAAGCTAATATACATACTTAATACACAAATACATTTCTTCCCCTTTTCTTAAAGGGCTGGTCAAGGAACTGCCACAGCAGTAAATTTGGCTGCTGGCAATTTCTCAATCATCCCTTTAAGATAAGGTAAATAAAAGATTTTAAAAAAAAGATAACGGATCCAGTGCCTTTTCATTGATCTAATGGAGGCTAAAAAACATGTCACTTCCTCCTGCCCTTTCACAGAGGAACAGAGGAACTGTTTAATTAACCAAAACCCAGAAGTGGCTTTATTAAGCCACTCCGCCATGTTGCCAAACCAAAAAGGAAGCCTTTTGATTCGTTCCCAGTGATCAGATGTGCTGGAAATGGACCAAAAGAAGGTGATCCTACCTGAACCCAAAAGGGGGGGGGGGGTTCAGAAAGGTATGGATGTTACCTCTCTGCTGCTGGACAGGATCACCCCAGCAAAGACACTGTCTGAAGGTCATTTTAGGAGCATCCCGGCAGTAGATCAAGCAACGAGCTAAATGTTGTCAGCCTCTTACTTTTGCATAGTAAGTCACAGTTAGCGGAGGCCTATTTGAATCCATGGAACTTATGGAAGAGTTGACTCGCTAAATCCCAACTAATTCAATAGGCTTTCTCTAGTGTGACTTACTGCACTAAGCAATCATATTAGAACTGCACACTTGGGAGGAACTCTACGGATCACGGAGTCCATCCCCTTAACTCCCAACCTCTGGCTCCACAGCCAGATACGTAAATCCAGCAGTTCGCAACAGGATTTCAGCCACACATTCATTTTCCTCATAATAAAGATATAATTCAGTTGCAGTATAATTGTTCTTTAACTAGTGATAATGTTCCTCTTTTTGCAATGTACTCCTTTGATAGTTCTTCTTATAGTTATGGGTATGGAGCCCCTGTATGAATATATCACACGATCAGTGCTATGCCTCGTACTGCTGCCTAATGCCATGTTATGGGGTGCTGAAGTGGAGAGGAGGAGAGGGCGTCTTGTAACACAGGTCAGAGGCTTGTGGCATTCAGATTTTTAAAAATGTACAGTAACTAGAAC